AAAACTTATTTTTCTATTAAAATTTTGTAATGAAAGTTTACAAAACTTGGCACCATTAACCAAAACAAAACCAATAAAATAAATCTCAGCACATAATAAAGCTAAACAATAAACATATACTTTTTGTTTAACCAAAATTTAATTAAACAAAAAATATTTAATCAAAAACATATATTTAGTCATTTTTACATTAAAAAAACTTCATAAAAAAAAAAAGTATTACATAAACTAAGATGTATGCTTTTGAAGTAGGGCTTTTATATTCGATACATCCAACACACCTTATTGCTGAGAAACATATATTTATTACATAAAACTAACGTTTTTGGCTCAATTTATGGGCCATCTTCAGGTTTACTGTTGTTCGATTCTAATACACAACCGAACACGTTCAAAATTAAACCAAATCAGAACATGCGTTTAAATTTAACCAATAGAATAAGCATAACCAAACTAAAACAATAAATAAAATACCAAACTAACAGAAAAATGAAAAATGAAAAATAAAAAATAAAATACGGTGTTAAGCCGCAAACAATAAGGAACAATTCCTAATACATTAACCCAGATATCTATTGAGTCACTGTAGACGCATTATTACTCNTTATTTTTCATTTTTCATTTTTCTGTTAGTTTGGTATTTTATTTATTGTTTTAGTTTGGTTATGCTTATTCTATTGGTTAAATTTAAACGCATGTTCTAATTTGGTTTAATTTTGAACGTGTTCGGTTGTGTATTAGAATCGAACAACAGTAAACCTGAAGATGGCCCATAAATTGAGCCGAAAACGTTAGTTTTATGTAATAAATATATGTTTCTCAGCAATAAGGTGTGTTGGATGTATCTAATATTTTGCATAAGAGGCTGAGTCGGATTAAGTGGCTTTTATATTCATTATCATTTTAATATTAAAATTTAATAAACCAATTAATAAATTTTGTTTTACTAATAATGCATATATATTTGAAATGAATTATTCTTAAAAATCAAATTGGAAAAAATATAACTTACCCATTAAAAACAAGCTCATTTAATTGCTGTCTATTTTTTTCACTCAGACCTAAATTTCAAAAAGATATATTATCAATTTAATGCAATAGCTTTACTTTACTATGAAAGAAAGTCTAAGAATTGTTTTATATAATAATATTGGGTACTGAATTTAAATGAAAATAATTTAAAAGCTGTACCATAGTATACAAATTACTTGTTTGTAGTTCAAATTTTGCTAACATGGCAAAGTAAGATAGATATTTCATTGTATAGTTTTGTCATGCAACAAAATGAAAATAGTAATGACCATAGAGCAACACATTAAGTATGTCCTTGGTATGCAGAGTTTGAATATGATGGCTGTACAAATTTTGTGTTTACAGTTACAAAAAGATACCTAAGTACAATTGCAATGCATTGGTATTGCACATTTGAAGAAATGTTGTCTATCATGAAGCCATATTCCAGTGGTTATAAACACAGTCCAGAGAAAAAAGCCTACATTTCCACTGCATTGGTGCTTACTTATCCCAAGGAAAAATCTATGAAGGTTGTTTTTGGAGTTAACTCTGCCATATACATGTCAATACGGTATGCAACATTATCTGAAAATGTATCTGTAGTGCTTGTACAAGCTGTAAGCAATACAAGTACATTTTTTTCAGTAATGTCAAACATGCATTGACATGTTGTGTGTAACAGAGTCAATTCAAAGGACAGTGCCATTTTCACTTTTGCCAGGTGACAAACCTATTAAATGAAAATCCTGCTTCACATTGCAGTTATGGCAGAATTTGAACTTCTTTTGTAAGAAGTTCAAATTCTGGTAAACATAACAAATGTAATTTTGGTAAACTACCTTTATTATGACACTGCTTTCACATTATCTCCACACATTACATATTTATTATATACATTACATTTTATATAATAAATATATTAACTATTGTAATATATACTATATTATGCTAATATAAATAAACTTATAGCACGTTTTCAATGTATTTTAAAATTTGTCTTCAGATTAATGATCAATTTTGAAAGATAAAGAATATACAATTAAAATAAAAATAGATAATTAATGTGTGTTCAGTTTAAAAATTTTAAGAAAAATTAAAAAATTAATACTTACAACCACCAATTTTTTTCCTTAACTCAGCGTAATTAATAAGACCATATAATTCTTGAGTTTGTTTTTTTACATCTACAATATAAAAAAAATTGCTATTTTATTCACTGCATTGACTAAATTAATAGAATGTAATAACTGAAAACTTTAGCTCTGAAAATAACATAGTTTCATCTATTAAAACGTATTTTATTCTTTTAAGAAAATTCTAAATATTTTATATTAAATTTATTTAACCCTTTAAAAATATGACATCCATAATAAAAGAATAAATCAAATTATTTTCTATTCCAAATGTAATTATGCATAATTGAAATTATTATTTATAACTACATAATTAATATAGTAATTTAATATTTACCATCGCCTATATCCAAATATTTAGATATTTTATGCCATGTTCTGTAATAAAAATGGCGCACTTGATCTTTATTCTTAATCATATTGGGTGAAACTCCTTTTTTCCTACTTCTCTGTGCAATATATGACTGAATACTTTCAAAATCTTTCCCATACTGTAAATAAATATAAAAATATGTTATGTTTTATCAAAGTTTCATATTCAGATATTATTATATATTTAAGATTTAAAAAGAATAAATTTTTTAAACTAATGTAAAAATTATTATTCACTAGTAATAAATTTTAAACTCAACCTGAATATCTTGGGTAAAAACGAAACACACCACTCATACTTATTCCAGAACACAAATTTTAATATAAAAACACAACAATGTTAAAATTTCTGTGCTGGAGTAAGAGTGGTGTGTTTTGCTTTTGATCAACAGTTCCAGCTTTTGTGTGAGTTTAGAATATCTTGGTATGTAAATAATTACAAATGCTCAGACTGCCTGGGTAAAAATTAAAAATATAGTAATAAAAATTATTTACACTTATTATAAGAACATTTTCAGTTCTATACAGTTTTTATATAACAATGCTTTGTAAATATAAAACCTTTAAAATTCATATTGTAATAGACACATTCAATTGATTAGATTAAAATATAGGATGTTTCCCTCAAACATTCCTGATTTTAAAATGTGTTGGTGAATACTCCACGTTTTATGTACTGTACATACATTTTAAAGGGTNAGAATAAATCAAATTATTTTCTATTCCAAATGTAATTATGCATAATTGAAATTATTATTTATAACTACATAATTAATATAGTAATTTAATATTTACCATCGCCTATATCCAAATATTTAGATATTTTATGCCATGTTCTGTAATAAAAATGGCGCACTTGATCTTTATTCTTAATCATATTGGGTGAAACTCCTTTTTTCCTACTTCTCTGTGCAATATATGACTGAATACTTTCAAAATCTTTCCCATACTGTAAATAAATATAAAAATATGTTATGTTTTATCAAAGTTTCATATTCAGATATTATTATATATTTAAGATTTAAAAAGAATAAATTTTTTAAACTAATGTAAAAATTATTATTCACTAGTAATAAATTTTAAACTCAACCTGAATATCTTGGGTAAAAACGAAACACACCACTCATACTTATTCCAGAACACAAATTTTAATATAAAAACACAACAATGTTAAAATTTCTGTGCTGGAGTAAGAGTGGTGTGTTTTGCTTTTGATCAACAGTTCCAGCTTTTGTGTGAGTTTAGAATATCTTGGTATGTAAATAATTACAAATGCTCAGACTGCCTGGGTAAAAATTAAAAATATAGTAATAAAAATTATTTACACTTATTATAAGAACATTTTCAGTTCTATACAGTTTTTATATAACAATGCTTTGTAAATATAAAACCTTTAAAATTCATATTGTAATAGACACATTCAATTGATTTAATACATATCAATTGAACAATTTTTATTAAAAAAATCACTATACCGAGTCTTCTGAAAAAGAATTCTATCATTTTAAAATATTTTAATTATATTAATTATTGTCCAAGAATAATGCAATGTACATTAATTGAAAAATCAAAAAACTGTCCAAGTTTCACATTTTCCTATTATAATTTTTCAATGAATGCATCTCATGTCACACACATCCGACTGACAATCAAATTTTTCCTACACTCACTACAGCATATGTTATTACTCCCCCAAGCAGTCACAAATCTACAGCTCCTACGGTTTACTCACACTGCACAGTGACAAGCAATTCCAACTTTACGAACCGTAGAACGCAAAATGTCTTCCCCATTGCAAAATTACCATTTTCATTTATTGCACTTCCTAGAGATAGTAGACAAGACTTTTGAATGCAGATTACTTTATCAGTTGGTATACATCGCATTCTTCTCAGATAATAATTAACATAATTATTATCTGAGAAGAATAATAATTTAAAATGATATAGCATTCATTTTAGAAGATCCTGTATAAAGAATAAATAATACAGATATAACTGAAAATATTTCTAAAATGTGTATTGTCTTCTTAACTAACCATTTAAATGGTTTTTATATAAAATTTAAAAATCGTTTTAGTTATAAATCAAAGTGACATAGCAATTCGAGGAAAATGCACCTGCATTACATAACAGATTTCTGATAGTTACATAATTGAAATTAACAATAACTATACACACTGATAAATTTAAAGTCGAAAGAATTTCTATTACATTCTTAAACAATAATAATGTAAATTATAACACAACTTACTTCACAGAGAGCTTCAAAAAATGCATTTTTATCTTCAACACTCCACAATTCCCATGTTCTTCTTGTTTTAAGCTGATCTTGTTGAATTGTTTGTTTTGAAACTATGAATAAAGTATTATTTTTATATACATTTCAATATCGTATATATAATTATATATAATAAAAATATAATGATATACAAGATAGTGTTAAATATTATAAATCACCATATCTAATTATCTAATATAAAATACATTTGTAATATATTAAAATTTTAATTACTTAATGATACAGTCTTTAATTCAAATTTTCTTTTACTTAATTAGATGTAAAAATGTTAATATAATATTAATATATACATTCACTGCTTTGAAAACTGGTTGTAGGGAATGAAAATACACACAAATACACCCAAAACCAGTAAAAGGATTAGAAACATTTACTGGTACGAACATTTTCTTTCATTTCTAATGATTGTCACACAGACAGAAATGTTTGTAACAGTAAATATTTTTAATCCTTTTATTAGTTTACGCAATAAAATTGAAAAATAAAAGTATATATAAATTTGAAAAATGCAGAGGTTTATAAATTTTTAACAGTCTTTGGGCCTTCAATAGCCACCTCTACTTCACAGATATGGATTTATAAATTTTTATATCCGTGGAGTCGAGGAGGTGAGTTATAAAAGTAAAGAGATTTATAAATTTTTTAAAAAATCTATAAATCTCTTTACCTTTATTATATAATATATTATAACATTATAATGATTATTTCTAAATTTTAAATACATTATTATTATTAACAAGCAAGACCTTTTACTGGTTAATAAATAAAAGAAAGATTGCGAAGTTATTTGAGTTAAATACTTTTATTTATTTATAAATTCTAATTATTTAATGAATGTACAGATAGGAACACAACTGTTAAATTTAAAAATTAATATTTTAAAATTAATTTTCAATCTAATTGAGAAAATAAACAATTTGAAATGAGAATTTACAATAAATAGATCCCATCAATTATAGTTTTCATACATTTAAACTTGAAATAATTGTAATATCATAATTATAATGATCTATTGATTAAAGAGATTCTACATTAGAATACAGGTAAACATTTGAGATATGCATCAAGTTCAAATCCCTTTCGAGTGAAAGAAATTTAAATATCAAAACAATTAATATCTAGATAATTTTCTACTTTCAAATGTATTCAATTCAAAAGAGAAAGATTCTAAGCCGAGAAAATTTCAAAACTGCTCTCATTTGTGACCTAACATCTTTAGCGAAAGGCTTGTTTCATTTTTAAGTTAATAAGAAGGAATAAAACATAATGATTCAACTATGTGTACACTTATAATTAAATCTTCTTGTATCTTCTAAATGAATCAATAAAATATTTATGTAAAATCATGTAATGTAAGCTTTGAAAGATTTCTTTTTATTAGACT